ATGAGTCGGGATGACAACATGATGAGACTTGAACAGAGTGAGGATCATGTATTCTTTCCACCAAGACAGGGCAATGCGGGACAAGTCACGGTCGAATAAAAGCATAACAATATTAAACCAACAATATTAAGCTGGACGTGGGCCATTAAAAACACACAAACAAATAAAGCCAACACAAAATGAGACATATATTAAGAGAATCACGGCTTTAAGTATTTAATTAGAATTTTTAAAGTTAACAAACAGTCCAAATAATATATATAAACTTTTTAACAAGTAGATAGATATATAAGAAGGATAATTATACTCACACTACAATTTTTATTTTTTCCACCACATTTTAATTGCACTTAAAGTTCTTAATCTTTGCTCATTATAGCACTTATATGCCTAACAATTTCTCATGTCATTTTTATCTTCAAACTTTTCATTAGTTAACACATTCTGTATTTGATAACACTTTCATATTGAAAAATCTGTTGAAATGGCGTAAAACAACATATTTTTCCATCATATTTTTTAGAATATATATAAACAAAAAGTGCGAAAAAATATTTTTCTTTATTTCAAAGCATGAAAAAAGATATTTTGATATAAATCAATCATCAAAAAAACAAGATGTACTAATGAATAGAAGGTTGAAGATGAAAAATCGACTAAACAAAGTAAGGAATTAATAACGACTCGTTTTTTTCTTTTCCTTGAGACTTTAGCGTCCTTGTGCTAAAAGAGAATGTAAAATTAAGTTTGGGGCATGAATAAGAATGGGATATGTTGATTTGGAACCAACCACCTAAATTGTAAAAGCAAGCAAATTAACTGCAAAGAAATTAAAAGAATACAAACATCTTATTCATGATTAAAGCAAACTTCCAGCAGTAGTACACTCTGCTGACTTCTTAAGTAGAAAATAAATGAGTTCTTAGATAGAAAGATATATAATTTTGATACCACCAATGGTCACATCTCCAGCCCGTGGTACCAAACTCACTAAGATTGAATCATCATCTTCTACATCCAAATCCTCCAAAAGCTCTGTTAATCCCAGCCTAATCGACGTCTTCACCTTTTTAGGTCCTTTATGACTATGGGGTACTTGTGCAAAAGTTCCCACGTACTCCGACTTGTCCAATTCATCGATCTTGTCATCTTCGTCGTTAACAAAAACATCGAACTTTACGAAATTAGCTGTTTCCACTTCTATCCCATCAATTACCAGTAATTCCTCTTCTCTTTCTTTGTCCCTCTGTTTCCTCGATTTCTTCGGCCGGGTGACGAGGATTTTAGTGATTTTGTCTAAGGCCAACGGGAACTTGATGTCTGCTGTCGATGGAGCACCGGAAGTGGTTGCCACTTTGGATCTTTGCACACGAGCTTGAGGTCTGAAATTGAGCCATGGAATGTCCACTTGTTGATAAACATAACCCATTCTTTCATTGGACAACGTGTCAGAAACTTTAACACGCACCAATTGTGCGTTCTCATCGTAGAACACGAAACTAGCATTCAACCAATCCTTATCGTTGAAATCCTTTGGTTTCGAGCCTCTTAGGTCTCGCCAAATTTTCCACATTCGGTCAACGTTCGCGTGGTGGCAATAGAAAATTGGATCGCGACCGGCGGAGTAAAAGTTGCCCAAATCCTCTCGGCGTGTCTCCCTCGGGTCTCCGACATACAAATGGATCGCAGTGTGCGTACCGCGTTCTGATGCTCCCGCCCCTGGGTTGACCGCGTCTCCTGCACGATAAGGTTGTCCCATAAAATCGTCGATCAACTTAACATTACGAACCATTTCATTATACATTATGTTGAAATTGTTGGCCACTGTTTGCAAAGGACTCTTCCCGTCATCCGAGCCATTGTAACCAAGATCAACTATACTCGTGAGATGATCTTGGTTACGTTTTGCGTTAAATAGGGACGAGTTTTGGTCGAGAAACATGGGCGGTAAAGTCATTCCCTTTGGGCTATCCCAATTCCAAAATGGCAAACCAAAAGTTGGGTCCCCAATCAAACTTCCCAAGATTCTTTCAAAGAAATACAAGTACCATCTATGGAAAGGAAAAAAGAGCCAAGAATTGTGAACTTGAAGGTCCAAATCATTGAACCCTACTTGGTCATATGCACCGTTGCAATAAGCACAATGAACACTGGCTTGTTGCATGAAACTGCGTGGATCGTCGTCCTTAAGTGACTTCATAAGTTGAATGGCTTTGTTATACTTGGCTATGTATTCCTTAGTCACCAGATGTGCAGCCGGTCTGAACCGCATCACAGTCGGTTTGGGAAGCTGGTAGTCTACAGGCTGGTTTGCCGGGGGACAACAATTGACGTTCAATGATTCCCCAGTATTTGCATCTGAAGGGGGCCCACATTTGCTAAGATTGGGCGGTTGTATCGGTGCAGCTAGCGTCGATGGATTCGACGTTAAAGTTGAACCGTATATGCCTCCCAAGCCAAGAAGCATATTTCTCCTATCGAATTTCCCTCGAGAGTTTGAGGCATTTTGGTCATCATTTCTTGCATTGCACGACACTTGAAAACATGTAGATGACTTAGCAGTGGATGGTTTGCCGTAGAAAGATGGAGAAGAGGGGGCGGTGGAGGTGGTGGCCACGGCCCATGAAAATGAGAGAGACGGCATAGGTATGTAACTTTGGGTAGAGATTTTTGTATGGTGCAATGCATGAAGGCAATTGTCTTTTATTTAGTGAATCGATGTTGTGAAACTCTACCCCACTTCGTGCAATTATACACGTTTTAATGTACTGTCCAAATTTAATGGATGAGTGGTGAACAATTCTCCTTCACATAAATCTAATCTACCTTCTATGAATACCTGAAAAAATCCAGGCGTTGTCAGAGCATTTAATATTAATTTTTTATCAGTAAATATGAATTATATTGATCAAAATTATATACAAATGCATCGAACATTTTTGGGCCAATCATATCCAAGTAGATGTATAATTACATTGGACATTCCCCGGCAAAAAAAGAACAACTAGAGAACCTAGAGACCCAAAACAAAAGACTCATATTGAATCAAAACATTCGAACACAATTAAAACATAACTTTGTATATGTTTGTTTTGATCCGTCGAACAATATTATCATCATGCGATCTTAGGTCTTCAAAAATCATCATATTCCTTGCCGTCCGAAATGGTGAATGGTAGTCACAAGTGCAATACATTTCACCTTGCTATACCAAGCAGTGCCTCGACTCTCCTTTTTAATCAATCTTATTGTGCTTTGTAGTATATACATAGATCGTCTAAGACTCACTCATGCACATATTTTTCTCCAAAGTGATTGACTAAAAGAGCATTCAAAAAACAGGTGGGCCGTGGTCTCACTTGTGAATGTACACAAACTGCATCCGTTGTCAATCTGTAAGAATTGCAATCTGTCCTTCATCAATAGCTTCGACTTGATTGCTAACTATGCAATAAATTCGTGCTTCGGAGTCACATATGCATTCCTAACAATTTTGGCCTAGATTACCTTCATTCCTTTCGGCCTAAAGTACTTGTACGCATCATATACGTTAATCTGCCATTGTTTGTCCATTCAGCCAGTACATTAGCAGCAGCAAAAGTGTTGTGTTTAGTTCCTATAATGCAGTCCCTGATTTGTAATAGCTTTTTGATAAGAGGGGAGTCCTCTTTCCTCGATATATAAACCCAAATCTTACTACAACCCATTTGATCCACAAAGTATTCTTTTTACAATGAATGTTCCAAAGTGTTCTGGAAAGCAGCGTTGAGTTCCAGCTTTTAATATCCCTTAGGCCAAAACCACCTTCAACCTTTGGTAGGCATTGCTCCATGCAATCAATGGTAAGTTCCGGCAAAGAGATATGACTCTAGAAGTAACCGTGGTTGGAATGGGAAAGATAGATAACAAAAAACATTCAACTCCTTGAAGCACGGCTCTCCAAAGAAAGTTTCGGCATTTAAAATTAATTTAATATCACGGTTGAGTGCATTTTGTGCTTGTCGAGTTCTAGCTAGTTGTCACGAATACGAGTGAGCGGGATGAAAACATCTTGAGGAATGAATGGAGTGAGGATCATGTTTTCTGTCCATTCGGAACGGGAAAATGCGGAACGAGTCATGATCGAATAATTTTGTCATTCCTATTTTATTGTCTAGTCTTCTAACTGGATCACAGCACTTGAGATATCTTAAAACAGAGGTGGAGATATTTTCATCTAGACGACTTCGTGGATGATAATAACAAAAACGTGAATTGAGATTTCTTTACTAAGAAACAGGAATCAAAGAGTATAAACGATGTGACATCGTAAAAACCTAATTTTAAATGTACATACCAACTTTTGTCTAATTATGACCGACCTTTGTTCCAAAATGTCAAATCCTTGACAAATGAGAACTTATAATTAAATTAGAAAGGGATTGTAACGTAATGACCCGAATAGGACTTTACTGAATTTTTTATTTTTTTATTTTTTGATAGGTAAGGACTTTATTGAATTTCATTTCTTACTAATCAAATTTTCTAAGCAATTCACTCGAGCTTCGATCGTCCTATCTTTCTTTCAATGCTATAATATTTGTCAAAATATATGACTTATTTATATTATACATATTATATTTTTTCAAATACACAATGATCCTTCATTAGTTTGAAGTTGGAGTTAAAAGAAAATGAACGTAATAAAAATCATAAATCTCAATAATAAATAAATAAATAAATAAAATAAAACTTCCAAACAATAAACATTCTGTGAAACATCATGCATCCAAAATATTATCCAAATATGTATTTTATATTCCAATGATAAAATACCTTCCATTCTGCGGTTGACTATGCTTTATTTTTTAATTTTATAATTTTGAAATATAAGAAATATCGACTTTCTATCTTAAAATAATCATAGTGGATCCATTATCTTAAAAAAATATATATGATAATATTACATAATGATATGAATTTTACAATAACAAAAATATTATAATCAAAGTCCAAACAAGAACTTTAATATTTTTTGTTAATATTTGAACTAGATGGAAAAATAGATTAGAATGAACCTTGGTCGACAAGTGAGTTCTTTGACAAAAGAAAATTCAGCTATCGAGTCGAGAATATGTACACTACTCTTGTGCTTAACAAAGAATGCGAGTACCCTGTCTCCCTCTTCTTTAGCTTTAACATTACAACTTTTGGTGGCCAACTTTTGCCTGAAAATGGAATCCAAAACAGAAATACAATTTCAAATCTGCATATTCTCACATCAACTAAAAGCCCCAAATCGTTGATATAAGCAAATAATTCTCACTGAGAATTCTCATTGCTAATGTCGCTGCAAGTAACTACAAGGACGTACGATCAATTGAATCCAGACCAAAAGCAATTGGTATGAAGCTAGAAATTATGCACCACAACTGATGAATAACAGGGTACCTGAAAGGCTGTAAATCGAATTGGCCAAACAAGCTTCATCATTTTCACCGTTGGAACGAGTGTCGTTTATATTCAATGAAAAAACAAATTTTCTCACGTTGTCTTTGAATTTAGAGGGGAAGTCAATGTGCTGTGGGGTGTAAATTGGCATTGCAATTCCTCTATAACTTAGCTAGTTCCATGCAACACCTGATGCACTTGTCCTGGCTCGAGCCTCGGCCAGTGAAACAGCCATGGCTAGCATCATTTGCTCCTCAAAACTCTCTGGAACGATGGTTCCTGCAACAGGTTGTAAGCTACACTCACCCAAAACTTGTTGGGGGACTGCAGCAGAAACTAAATAGCTGGTTCCAACTTCAGTCACTTCCGATCTATGATCGACCCATTCTCCAAAATCCCTGGGCATTGCCAACTGAATACCAGGTGATGCAACAATGGCACCTTCTGCAGGAAAGTAATTTTCAGATTCTTGTTCCTGGTTGGAAAAAATGCTGCGGCGAGGCATGTTATATGCAGACATGTGGCTGCCATAGTTACTGGAGGACTCTCCACCCGCTTGTTGATGCTCAGCTAGGGTCGCTATTGCACAAGCAAGACCGCCACGAGGAGTTGGTGAAGAAACAGCCGCTGGGGCCATCAATGCTGAGACACTACGATATTCTCCTGTGTATTCTTCTGATGCAGCTGCTTCACTATAGGGCGGGTTTTGATGCCTGCCACTCTCCTATCATCATTACACGTGCACAAAAAAATGTATACATAATCTTTAAGTCAACAAGAGGTCAGAGTAGAAATTGAAGGTCAAACTTAAAAACATTACTAAAGAAACTGAAAATAAGACCATGTATTAAGATACATACGCAGAAGCTCTAGAATTGTTTGAGTCTATATTCAATACATTAGCACCTCACAGTGTTCCAATTTTTGGACAAATACAAAAGTGTTCAGAATTTAAAGCTTCCAGACAAAGTTAATAATGCTTAGAACTAATTAGAACATTTTACGCAGCGTTTAGCAACGTCAAGATTGACAAAACCAAATAGAGTCTTTCAAGTAAAACCTGTGAACTTTCTGAGTCCAACCATGATTATCAAATGCTTGATTTTGCAAAAACGTACCTGAATAGACAGCCAAATGGCTTCCATAACCATTATGTCCTCAAGATCCAGGTCAATCTCGTCTTCCCTGAATTAGAAGATAGAATAAGGGCAATAAATAAAGGAATAAATAAAGGATGAAACCCAAGTTTACTAAAAAAAATCGTAGTAGCAATTTTTAATCAAGTTATCAACACAGCTTTCTAATCTTTTATCTATAACTTTCTAAAACACATTTCCTTTCTATTCTGTTGAATGATTTTCTATTTCAGAAAATATGGAAATCATTTAAAATTCAAGAAAGCATGTCCAACATGAATCCAACACGTTTTGTGTTAGACACACGTCTCTCATACACATAGATTACAGGACTTCGAAATACTCGTACCATTCTTCAAACCAGCTCTCAATTACCATCCTTTTCTCCTCCGAGTTGTTTTATCAAATCATTTTTTTTCCAGTTCAAGTTTCATTAGACCGGTTTCAAAATTGCCAAAAAATATTCAATTTTATAAGATTAATGATACACAATTAAATTCATATTCAATTTCAATATGTTTCTTCCATTGTTTGATTTTAAAATTTTATAATTACTTCTCCTTTATACATTCATTTAATTTGTGTTACATATATTGTTCAGTATAAATATCAAATTTCTTGCTCAATTAGACATTCGATCACTTGTTAAAATCATCATTAAGAGTAACTGATACAAAATTAATTAAAGCATACAATGGAATGCAGAAATGATAAAAGAGATTTGTAGTAAAACAAAATTGTAAGGATAATGGTAGAGTTTATTGGTCAGTCCTGAATCTCTTTGGTTTCTTTCTTGCTTCATTTTACTTCTATACTTGAGGATTGAATCTATTTTCTGCCAGCTTCTATATCCAACTAAGAAACATATTGACAAAACTATATAAATACTTTCATCTTACTTTGATCTCTACCTGATTTAATACAAGCGGCTTACCTATTTCCATTGCTTTCTCATTGAAACCAATTTCCTTAATCTGCGATTACATATGGTTTTTTGGTTTTGCTATTTTACTCATTTCTCTTTTGATTGCCACACGCATTTGGCTAGTAATTTGAGGTAGATTATTTAATTGGTGCTCTTTATTTTCTTGATGATATGGATAAGCACCTTTAGGCATGTCATTTGAAATTACGTAGTATCATTATCTTCTTTCTGAAGTGGACTTAATCTGCTCTCAGCAAACTTTTTCTGTTAACCGAATTGTCCCTGAAGCCCATTTCCTTGAGATTATGTTTTTGTCATTAGATGTTTTATGGCTCCGGAATTCAATGTATACCCAGAAATTACAAATTTAATCCATCATAATCCATTCACCGGTGGCCAAGTAGCCACATATACAGAGACTTTAATTGTCATCATAAACTCATAAACCAACTTAAAACCATTCTGCTGAACTCAAAACACCGGTAGTATAGTCATTTAGTTCAAGGTTCAAAAGGAAGGAGAGGCACCACCATCTAATGGAAATTTTCCAGAACTACGTTCACCCATCTATTCCTTTAACTAAACTGAAGAGCTCAAAAGACAATTCCTAGTTGACATTTGTCGTCTCTTGAAAGACATGAAGTCTTACCACTCCACTGTAAGGAGACATATCGAGGAAAAAGATCCATGTCATGCACCAAACCAAAATCTACATTCTTTCACTGTTTTCAATAGAGCAATCTCTAAACCCACAATGCAGAGAATGGTTGTATATGAATTGAAGTTTTAGATCTACCTAATCAAGTAAAAGGACAAGACATTACAGCCATTCCATGGCAGGACCAGACCACTGCAGGGAGCCAGGGACTAAATGATGCTCTTGTCTATATTCTGTTTTCGTCTAATAATTGATTTATGCATGCTTATGCTTACTTGCACCCCAAAATTGATGTTGCATTCGGGCTAATGAATATAAGAACCAGTTCCCCACATTACCCAAGAAGGAAACTAAAATGGTGTTGGCTTTAGGCTATTTTCAAACTACCAACACATTTGTTGCTCCGTCTTGCGAAGCTTCCTCATGAGGTTGAAGGAATTAAGCCCCTATTTGTTTCCCATTATTTAGTCATTAAAATGAAAAATATGACCGTTATTCATTACATCAAACCACCATATTTGAAAATCTACATTGAGGCCGGTAACAGCTATATTTTTCATTCTCATTCGCCTAAATTGCAAATGTTTAGATGTGAGGATTAACCAACCTCTAGGTAGAGTGCACCACAACATACTAAAGGAGCATCAAAAGTTCCGAACGTTCTCTCAAGTTGACTTCATTAATAAGAAAGCTACGTAATAGGAAAGTAGATATCCACTATAGAAAGTTAAATTAAACATAAAAATTCGTGACTGCTGACATGGAGTTAGTTGATGCTTATTTCCCCAGATATACACATTGATTCATTTCCGGGAAAAGAAGTTCGCGATCTGTCGGACTTCTACCTCCACAAGGCATCAATATTGTATTCGTCTCGAAGGAAAAAAAAATTGAGTTTTCACCATGGTCAACAGAATAATACTCAATTTAGCTATGAGAATTTTCACGGGAAAAGGAGAATGGGAAAAGAAGTTTACGACATATGGGGGTTTCTTCCTCCACGAGGCATCAATATTGTATTCGTCTAGAAGAAAAATAATTGCACTTTCTCTATGGTCAACCAAATGATACTCAGTTTAGCTATGAGAATTTTCACGGGAAAGAAAGACATATAACACACCAATATTAATAGATCAGTCTTCAGGATTTTGATTTACCCCAGGACACGAATTAACTTTCTAACAATGAATTAAAGAATTTCCATTGAGAACCCAATATACTTAGATTGGTTTATAACAGACCCACATCCGGAAGAAAAAAGTAATCATAATGCAAGGACTTCTATGTAAAATGATTGAACGAATCAGGTAACTCACAGGAAAGAGGCATTACAACCCAGTAACATGCTACAGGAACCTGCTGCAACTAAATGACTGAGCAAGCTCCTGCACATGAATTTTCCTATTATAAATTATTAATAATTAATAATTAGTAATATAGGAAGATACTTTTTCTTCAAATTAGATTTTCCTTCAGATAATTATTGTGTAAAAAAATAGCCACTTGTTGGCAGCCACATCTTTCTAGGCGCAGTGGTCCGTGAACAATACTGAACTGTATAGAATCAAAACAGTAATGGATATTAAACAGTAAGTTGACAACAAAAAATGTAAAATACCTATTTTGCCTGGGGCGAATTGAAGAAGCAAAGGGCTCCTGAGAGCTAACAATTTCCTCACCTTCTACCGCAGAGGAAAAAGACGGCACTGCAATAGAAAGGAAAATAAGTGATAAAGTCAATGGTCGAAAACACAGCAAGCAAACCAGCAGGTGTTAACTCAGTCTCCTGTCCTATACCTTCTGTTGAGCAATATTCAACCTCGCTTGGTCCTCTAATACTGTTTGATGAACTAATTTCTCTGCGATTCAGTATTCGCTTCTCTTCATCCCGAAGTTCTTTCTGCCTCATCCTTATTTTTGCTTCTATAACTCGTTGTTCTTCCTGCAGATGTAAATGATGAGAACAAAGTTCAATTTATTTGTCAGAGCACCGTCTGAGATATCTTAAGTAAAAAAAGATTAAAAAAATAATAATCAGCATAAATCAATAATACAATTTGCTCCAAGCCTTTCTCTTCCTTTGTCTTAACACCTCGATACTCCACAGCATAATTTGAGGTTTTACAGAAAGGACATCTATTAGGGTTAAGGTAAGCATAAAAATTGAAACCCTTAAACAGAAGTAACAACCAAAATAGACTGAAGCATGTGAAAATAAGCAAGTGCATACACACACATGTACACACAAAATCATTTTGATCCAAGAAACATAAATAAGTAGACAAATCAAACTGAATGAAATCAAGGATACTGCGTAGGCCGAGTAGAATTAGGGGTTTTCATCTGCAAAAAACACTCTAGAACGTAGAGAACGAATGTGTTAAAGGATTTTATTGTTTAGAATTCTACAAAGATTATAAATGTTAATAAGGATGAGAGAGTGAAAATTATACCTGTACAAATGCCTTTCATGCAACATCTTGACCGATTAAGACTTGGATAGTACTGAGAACATGCAACATAAAAGAAAAAATTGAGAGCAGGTACAATTTGGTGGGGAAAAATATTATAGGAACTCGTATGCTTTGAGATCTCATGGATCAAACATAAAATATTGCTTTTGTTGATTCTAACACCACAACAATTATCTTTGTTCCAGTCCAAGAAAGTAGATAAGAGCCAAGCCTCAATTTGACATAACCGAAATTCAGACAAATATAGGTCGCTCAATGTTCCACTCTCAATCGTGAACAAATTATAACGAACAAATTTCCATTCCAGATTGTCATTCAGCATAATTTGCAGGCAAAACTAACTTTTAAATAACAGTGAAAGTATTTCCTCTAGCCAACTCATTAACCAAATTTAATTGAAACAACCGTCAAAATCCAATGATAGCATAAACAATCAAAGAACAAAAAATGATGGAAAATCTTGAGAAAAAACCAAGAGGCTTCAAGACATCCCTCAAAATTGCAGCAAAAATACTCTTGAACCAAATTTACTTTTAAACAACCAAGAATGTCTTATGATAGTAGTAAAAAAAAAAAAAAGGAAGAAGCAAATGGGACATTCCTTAAATCACAGAAAATATACTCGTGAAGACTTTTAAGCAACCAAGAAGATCCATTATAGCATAAAACAGTCAAAAAAACAAGAAATGAAGAGAAAGCTTGAGAAACAGACCAAGAAGCAAATAGGGCATTCCTCAAGTTCACAGACGCATTCATCATCACCAGGGTAACAAGGTGCCAGCTTTGAGTCAAGAATGAGTTTTCTAAGCTTCCTGTGGTCCACATCTTTATGTTGGTACAATCCCTGAGGCTTAGTGTACTTCTCGTCCACCACTTGCTTCCTCCGCCCCAATTTATTCCCCATATTTAAGAAACACTCAAATTTTCAGTTTCTTTTCTTTCTTAAGGGAAATTCTACTTTTCACACAATTTACAAGATCTCGCTTAGTAGCAACACGCTTGTCACTGTACCAGAAATTCTTAAATTTGCAATAAACACGCATGGAAATGTCCAACAACGCAAAACAAAGAAATTAAGACAAAAACCATTACTTTCGGTAAAAATAATAGAGGCCCACCAAAATACATCAAGAAAAAATATACCCCATCAAAAGGAATTGAATGAATGCTAGAGAAAGCTGAAACTTGAAATGAAATCTTGGTTTTTTATTTTATTTTTTTATATATGTATGTGTATGTGCGTTACAAATAGAGAGGACGGAGAGATGTACGGCGTGTAAGAGGAAACAAGATCAGAACTTTCTCCTTGTTGATAACTGTGTATTTTTGGATACGCAGATATAGCGGACTGTTTGTACAATGTATGTATTTATCTATTTCTTTGGTGTTCTTCAAGAAAATGATGTGATAATTCATTTAACTTGTATTTGTTTTGTTTCTTGTCTCTGTTATTATTTTTTTTTTTTTGGGGTCCGAATAAATTAATATTTTCATAATCGATCCAATTGTTAATTCATAAAAAATTAATTGATCGAAAGTAGAATGAGTCGAAAAAATAAAGAGTAATTAGCACAAAACGTTCCTACCTTTTATGATTTTTATGGAAAACGTCCCTACTTTTCGTTTTTTGGCGCATTTCATCCCTACCTTTACCTTTTATTGTGCAAAACATCTTTTTCATCAATTTTCTCAATAAAAAGCTATAAAATGACTATTATACCATTCTATTTAAATAAAAAATAAAGAACTAAATGCAATCGTAGTTCCAAATAAAAAAATTCTCAACCTCTACCTCCTCCTTTGAACTTTTTTAAAAATTGGAATTATGATTACAATTAGTTCTTTATTTTTTTAATATTTAAATAGAATGGTATATTAGTCATTTTATAACTTTTTATTGAGAAAAATGATGAAAATGATGTTTTCCACAAGAAAATGTAAATGTAGGGATGAAATACGCCAAAAACGAAAGATAGGGACGTTTTCCACAAAAATTATGAAAGGTAGGAACTTGTTGTACTAATTACCCAAAAATAAATATTTTTGAACTATTGTCTGGTTTTCAGTCAAATTGATCCGTGTAATCGGATTAATTAGATATTATCATGAAATTGTTGTGAAATTTCATGTATTTCGCCATACCCTTCTTAACTCTGTCCTCTTCAAAGTATCTTGCCATTAGCCCCACTTCGAAAGTTGAAATTTCCCTCCGATTCTAGTATTACATTGTATTGCTTGAGTAATTTTAGAGTCTTATCGATGTGTGCGTTTTGATTCTAAAAATGAGCATCGTTTGGTTGTGGAAAGGAATCAATTGTTGTTAAAAATTTGAAATCAACAATTAATCAGAAGGAGATGGACATAGTGAGTGAATCGATTCGGATCACACTTCAGTGCTCGATGGGAATATTAGGTAGTTTTAGATGAATGTGAGTTGAATTAGAGTTGTGAATCCACAATTTTACTTTTGCTATAAGATTTTGGGGTTGTCTGGCAAGTGATGTGTTTTTGTTTTAAAGGCCGTCATTGACAACGATGATAACGAAGTGGCTGTGGAAGAAAGTGACGATGAAGTAGGGATTTAGTTTTGGGTTTCGGGGTGGGTAGGGATGGGGGAAGGATTTTGGAGTTAATTTGTTGAAGGTATTTTTAAATTTCATCTGGATAAGGGTTTGTTTAGTGATTTGGCGTCTACATGTGCAAGTTACTTAATATGTGGAGAATTTTAATTGACATGTCACCTTTTCATCCTCCACGTAGATACAATAATAGACAGAATCTATCCAGTGGCCAATTAATGCAACGAAGTTAAGTTCAATGGGTAAATCGTGACAAAGTGTAAAGTTCAGTGGCCAATGAAACATTTAACTCAAGGATTGGATTAAAATAAAGAGGGGTCTAGGCCCGAGGAGAGATTGACACAACAATAAGTCTTGTGGCTACTATTTTAGTAGCTCTAATATTCAATAGCTTTTAATGAATGGAATATTATCAAGCACCCTTTGCAATTTTGAATGGTATTTATGGTTCTACCTTTTTCTTAGCAATTGGTTTTCATGGTTTTCTTTTAAGATTTATATATGTCCTCGAAGAAATGGTAAGTAGCATAACTCACGATAGTTTCCAATATTTCCAAGGTAAATTTCAATAGGGTCCCGATGCTTTTGCAAGGTATAACTCTCTTGACCCCAACATATTTTTAATGCACATTTGAAACTTATGTATATGTCATCGATTAATGAAAAACGTTTATTTGACCATTGAAAGGTCACGTGATGCTCACGTAATGACGAATGAAAATAATAAAAAAATATTTCATTTTATTCAAAACATACCGAATGATGACTTCAACTAATTCAAAATGAGTAAAATTTATCGGTATTCATGAAACGTATCTTCTTACTTCAACATGTTCCTGAATCGAGAGTTATGACGTTTTCTATTAAACAGGGTACATTAGTACCCTGAGTACAATAAAAAGTGAGTTAAGAATATGAGCGCTAATTACGAGTAGTTGAACACCCGACCGGTGGAATTTACTCTATTTCCCAGCAAAAGGTGGTGTTTGGTCCACCGTCCAACACTTAGTTAAAGAGGGAGAAACAGTCTTGTACTTGCTGCAGTATATGTTGCACCTTCGCTGCACTTCCGAAGTGCCATGCTCTCATACTGCACCACTACAAAATCTAACTTCAGTTTCTTTATTTTTAAAGTATGTAATTTAGCAGTTGTGAGTAGTTGAAATCATACACGTTCTTGTTCAAATCCTCATCTAATATAAGTTAATTATGGTTGTAAATTTTCATAATTGTTGTACCAATTTCTTAGTTGTATATGACATATCTCGATGCATGACGGACATTGGCCGAGATGATTTAACTTTAACCACAACTTACATAGACAACTAAGATAAAGTGCAACTTTTAGAAATGAAGGATTTTCAAGCCAAACTACTAATCCAACATGTATTTTTCATTATGGGTGCTTACTTAGGTTTAAGTCCATATAGGGGTCGGCAATCTGAATATTTTATAACGTCTACCATATATGTACAACATGGTTGCTCGGAATATCAAGGAACGTGACAAGTTATAATAATAAATTATAGTCTCCACCACAATTGTCCAGGCATGAATTTTACTAGTTTGTAAATTTTTGGGACATAATATGGCTCAGCAAAACTTGCTCCTTCATTTTCTATAATATTATTATTAGGCCAAGACAAGATCAAAAGAAAGTGAAAAATTAATACTTTTATCGAAATTTTGTCAGATTATCTTTTCGTGCGTAGAGCATGTCTGGCTTTAAGTATGGGAGCCAGCCGTGAGTGAATTGTCCAAATGATCACTAAACTTTACAAAATGTCTCTAAGGGGTCACCAAACTTTAAAAATCATTTAAATGGTCACTGAACATTGCAAAATGTTTCTACAGGGTCATTAAACTTTATAAATCACATAAATGATCACTGAACTTTACAAAAAGTTTTCACGAAGTAATCGAACTTTGCAAAAGGGTTTCCTAGTTCAGTGAATCCAGTGATCCCTGAGAAACCTTTTGTAAAGTTCAGTGATCATTTAGGTAATTTTTAAAGTTCAGTGATCACGTAAAAATCTTTTGCAAAGTTCAGTAACCATTTAGGTGATTTTTAAAGTTCGGTGACTCATTGAAATTTTTTTTTGCAAAGTTCAATAATCATTTGGACAATTCACTTGCTAGCCGTTACATTTCCCTCTTTCTTAGTGATCAAGCAACCTAAATGAGTCTTATATTACATATTGAATAGAATTTCACAAAATACAACTAGTGTGGAGCCACAAGATTGAGACGACCAAGAATTGCAAGTCAACTTTTATATAGGGCAATGCATCCACGGGAATCTTGTGTAACATCTCTAGCTACGTGACTTGATAGTGGATGAAATTAGAGGGGCCTCTTGATCACCGCTCCAAATTTGCAAGTAGGCGTCTTTCCCTTAGGAAATTATATAGTGGTTGAAAACCTTTTTTTTTTTTTTTTTAATCATGTTTGATCAATACCTAAGACCCAAGATCGAACACCAGAAAAGAAGAATGGAAGTGAAAAATTAATACTTCTATCAAAACTCTGTCAAATTATCTTTTTATACATTTTAGTACTTACGAAAACATGAAAATACTTAATATTACTAAATAGGTTACAAAAAATGAACACTTCAAGGGCTTTTTTACATCGGCTACAAAGACAATCATTGTTTCCATGTGATTTATCTAGAGTGATTGTTGAGCTCATGAAAATGGATAAATTGGGATTTCCTAACTTTACGTTGGGAAAGGGATTGTAAATGTTGCAAGTATCCTTGTTGTTTGTATAAGTTTACTCTTTTGATGTTGAAGTGCTCATTTTAGTTTTGTTGTTCTGATTCCATTTGTTGCGTATTTAATTTGATGGAAGCAAGATATACATCCCCCTTTGTAATATTTTCAATATCAGTATCAAATCCCATATTCGGTTTACGATAAGTAGGCCTAAAAATCCTTATCTTGAACCGAATGTATTTTGCCCAGAAAAAAAGTGTATAGTTTTCAGTTGATTTAAGGCACATTTTTTTCCCTTAATATGCTCAACCAAATTGCATTTTCATTGTAGAGAGACCATTCTTGCATGCAAGTTGATCAAGAGAGTGGCTTGGTGAAGATACAAGCAAATTAATAATTACTAATGTTCAAGTACTTTTAATAGTGAGATACTAGTTTATTTTCAAATTATTTGGATACAATTTATAAATTGATTACTCTATACCATCGTTATGCTATGCAGGTCAATTGTCATCATAAAAACACACAAACCTCCAACCAAACAATTATGAAGCATTGAGAAAGAATTAAAAAATAAAATAAAATATATAATCCATAAATGTGTGTATGAATAAATATGATTGACAGCTCGGTATACAGCCTCCTCACAAAAGAGGGGACTCGCACCGAGCTATCAATATCTATGTGTACAACCATCAAATTCATAAATTAATATATATACACACACACAGGGTTTTGTTATTCTGCACAAACCCTGTAAAGTTCTTCAAGTGGTGGCAACTCTTTAAGCATCCTATCAAAATCTATAAAAGACATTCCACGAGAAAAAACTGGAAGAGCAACGGTGGATATTTCACTCCTCGTCGGCTCTTTGGAGGCAGAAGATGGCTCCGCTCCTGCTGCCGCCACCGAATCTTTTCCGGTGAGTCTCTGAACAACAGATTTGAAGCTCATGGCATCAGTTTCCACGTATTGAGTGTTGATTATCACCACCTTCACGGGCTGTCCATTGAATCTAGGCATATTATAAACAAGCTCAAGTTCTCAAAATGCTTAAAAAATCACGGTGGAGGAGCCTTAATTGCAACGGCAGATCACGAAGTAGCTTGATAACGCGGCTTCTGGTGGGTGTTCTGACTATTGAATTAAGCTGATGAACTATTTATAATGGTGTGGGAGGGGGGGGCCGGGGTGGTTTGAACTGTTAAGATCGTACTGTTATTAACTGGATGATATCAATTGACGATTGTGATCTAGGCAGTCTAGAAGGACCAGATCCCAGTCAAGACACGCAATTGGGAAAATTCTTGCTCCTTGAAACTTGGAGGACATTGCATGATTTGGTGATCATTTTTTACATTTGCAACGAGGGAAAAGAAAAACTTGTGCATTTTTATTTTTTTATTTTTGAAATAAATTGAATTGTCTTTTTATATAATGATTATAATGAGATGATTTCTAAAATGATTTTGAATACATGCACTTGTGTCGGTATCAACAATAATTCGTGTGATGCCAGATTCCGAATGAGATATGTTTATAATTGTGTTCCTATTTCTCAATGACATACATAACTATATTCTAAAAGAAGCAACTATTTGAACATTGATTCTAAAGGTTGATTTGAGAGCGACTATTTGAAGTTTAAAATAATTTTTCAGGAAATATACATGCAAAATTATTTATTTAAGATATCGAGTGGTCGAAAATGAATTTACAAAAAAAAAAAATTTAAATAAGTTGTGCCAAACAAAATCTTAATGAACTGATAAACATTTATGTTTTGTCAAACTCATTATTTTGATAACGTTCCTTCTTGTTTCTCTCCAACTCCGGATATGAAAATATCATATTTCTAAAATCTGGATACAGGTGGTAAACAAGTTAAGTAAGTCAATAGGAGGCTTGTTAGACATCATTTTATTACAAATCGAGACAACTTGTTCTGAGCTCATTAACAGCTCGATTCAATCCATAAAGCCCACAACTCAAGGATCAAACCTAGTTTAATTTGTGAATGGTTCAAATCTATTCATTGTCATCCCTGTATGTTGGCAAGGAGAGTGTCATAAAGCCACCAGGGCACATCTCCAAGTGATAAAAGGGGAGGGTGGAGAAATTCAGCTTTGCTTGAAACTGTTGCGTCAAGGGTTCGAATCCTGAAATATGGATTTGGCTCTTGGGTAAGTGCAAGTGTACAAGCAGCCTTCCACCTTGTACCCTTGGAGGCATAACCTGCGATTTACCTCCTTCACGATGCTCCAGAGTAGACGTGGTGGGAGACCCTTAAAATTAGAATTTAACCTTTTTTAAGGAGAGCGTCATCAAAAATGGTACTTTAGGGAAAAAAAATTATTAAATATGATGCAAGAAAATGTCAATTATTTTTTATGGTATATCTTTAATAACATTGAAAAAGTTGAGTCCCTTTACCTGCTTTCTCCGTATTATTGACTACAATAGTGAGTACGTGTATGCATGCCCATCACATTTCAATATCTATTGGTTGTAGAACTCTTCTTGAATGCCTCCAATCATATATCTACCAATCATTTTAGCAAGTTTTATTATTATTTTTTACATAAACACAGACATTATCATTAATCAAGATCGTCGTACACGGTATCGAAATAGAATAGTTGACTTCTCAAGCTTTTCATTATAGCAAGCGGCTTGATATCTTCGAACGAGAAGCATCCCCTAAACTTTCTTAGCAAAAGCATATTATTTATTTTGATAATAATATTACACTAAGACCCCATTTTTGATAAAAAAAATATTGCATATGGACTCATAACTTTTTGAGAGATACTATACATACATAAGTAGGGATATCAAATGGGCCGAGTGGCTCGTGGGGCGGCTCGGGCCGAGCTCATGGGCTGAGCCGAGTTCGAGCTCGGCCTATTACCATCCCTATACATAAGTGTACACCCCCTTACATGAAGGGAACCTGCTCCCAATAAATAGTGAGGGGGTGAAAACCCGGGTTTACACGTCTAGATTTATAAGTATCATTTTCCTAACTTTTTTTGTTTACACATCACTTTTTCATGAAATCTATTCAAAAATCGCCCTTGTTTGAGTTACGGTTGGACAAAACTCCCGAACCTAGCCGAACCTGACGATTCTTCTCAAGTTAAATACCCGAACGGGTAGTATTTGGATCAAGAATCAACGAGTATGGTTCAGTTCTCGGTTCTAGGTTAAGATCCGAAAAATCGAATAAGAACCGAATTTTCGTAATTTTTTTAATTAATTTATTTTAAATAAGTAAAATTATTTTATTTTTTCTAAATAAAGTTGTTAACTAGTTAATTTAATTCAAACCACAAAATATGATTTTCCTATTTCTAATTTTCAGTTCAAAAATAACTTAATCAAATTGACCTCAATTTTATCCAAATATATTATTATACTGTAGTGTCGTTTCTACAAGAGAAAATCGAATTGAAGTTTTACAACATCTCTCTTAATTATTTTGAGTTCGCTACCTTTCTCTTTTTGTGATTTTAATAATCAAATTTATGAAAAATTTAGTAAAGAGAGACGTAAACAAATAAGATTGAACTACGTTATTTTATAAGAGCTAATATTGAACATATCATTAATTAAATTAACGTAACTTTGTATATATTAAAAAATTTAATTATAATACGAAATCGAATGGAACCGAACCTGAATGGTTCTGTGATTAAATTTGGACCCGACAGTTCCACTTACTAAATACCAGAAAATTTCAGGTCGGTTCGATTCTCGTTAGAACCGAACCGAACTATGTCTATCCCTAGTTTGAGCTCGATTTTTTAAAAAATTCATTTTTTCAAAATTTATTTTCAACCACATATTTTTTAATAAAATAATTTTACATGTAAATCGAATTTTTTTTTACTTATTAATCACATTTTTCAAAAAATTACTATTCAATAATGCATTTTTTCTCCCTAAAATGGTGCTCAAACAAGGGCCTAATATCAAAAAATAATATTAATGATTTTTTACCTTAACAATTTAAAAATGTAAATTATCTTAATTTATTTGAAAATCAAAAATTAGTTTAAAAGTCATGTTTACATTTTTTTATTTTTTGAAGTTTTGACTGTATGAAATCATTACTCGTACGGCATTTCAATCACGGGATTCAAACTGCGTCCAGCCTCATTCAAATATTCACGAGTTGGTGTCCCATGCTCATTGTAGCGCCTTAAAATTTGAAGTTCTAATTTAAGTGGACGTTTGGTAGAAATTATATTATGATAAAAAATTTTGAAATGTGTGGTTGAAAAGTTATGAGATTCATAATAGGTGTAGTTAATATTTATTTTTTAATTTTGACTTGAATTAAAATCAGATTTTAATCATAACCAAACATGGGACAAAGTTCAATTTTGTTTAAAGTAGTCTAAACTCTTATAAATTAATCTATATTTTTATTTTTATTCGATGTAAAATTATATCCCTGAACAGTGCTCATAGATGTCAACGCTATATGGATTGTTGACCTCAAAAATTGCACCAATAAAATCGCGACCTCATCCCCTCCACCCTACACACGAAATATCTCGTTAAGAGGCAAAGGCAGTCGATTGAAAAAAAGTCCAGCGATCGTTTGCATTCCGACGATCAAATCAACGGTTGGACGAAAAAAAATAAAGAGTGTAAGAGACGGGAGAGTGGATTTGGTTCGAATTAGAAAACTTACGTTAATTATAAAATGAGTCTTGTATATATAGAGAAATAAATGGAGACGTTTCTGGTGGGTTAAAGAAATGGGTCAAGTCCAATAAGACCCAATATGAAATAGGTATAACATGGACGATTGCATGCTGAAAAATAGACCAATATTGTGAAGTAAAGTCGACAAGTATTAAACAAAGCTGAAATTAAGCTCCTATTGGATCCATATTATTTTCAAAATATATCTTTCGAGAATAGTTTCTCAAGATAAAGTATCTTTGGAAGCTGGAAAAGAGAGTAGGCTGACTGAACTGTTCTTATTTATTTTCGGAATAATGTAAAAGCTGGAAATACACGTAGTGGTGGTGCAGGAGGAGGGAAATATATTTTTTTAAATAATAATTATTTTGGGATTGTTTGTTTTTCTTTTTTTAAAAGAAAATGAGAGTACGGTGCAATTAAATTTTTATTTTTCTTTTCTTTTGTTTTTTTTTATTTAAGTATAAGGCTATATTTGTCATTTAATTTAACAATTTTTTATTGAGAAATTGGATGAAAGTTGAAAATAATGATTTTGACAATGAAATGTGTAAACAGGGGGTATAAATGCCCAATGTGTAAATAGGGGGTATAAATGCCCCAAAAAAAAAAAAAAAAAAAAAAAAAGCGCCAAAATTCAACTGGAAAATTGCCCGAGGGTTGCCTACCCAAGGTTTACACTCTGTGAAAACTAGCCCTCCAAAAAATAATAATAATAATTTTTTTTATTATTTTTTTTTTTTTGGGGGGCCATAAATTCGTAATGCATGTTCCCTCAAAGTTTGAAAAGTTGTGCTTTCCCACTTAACATTCTCTCATATGTTGTATTGTCTCGCTTTAAGGAGGTCAGTTTATGCCTCCCTTAAAGTTTGAAAAGTTGTGCTTTCCCACTTAACATTCTCTCGAGTTCAGTTTATGTCTTCCTTTTTCTAATTCTTGAGTTTGATTTTATATACAGTTGTGGAACTCAAACCTCCATCAACCTCTTTTTGATGAAGTCTGAAAACCCATTAAGGCTGTATTGGTGTTATTTTGCTTTAAAGAAAAAAAAAATGAATGCGCTGAGAAGATGGCGATAACATCTTTAGGTTAATGGAAAACATGAGTATTGATCCCTCCATCATATACGGTAAAAGAGAACACTTCTTTTCGTAAATCAAGGATTTCTATATAAAAAATACTATTCGGAATTTGAAGAAGGTGAGAGAGGAGGCCTTGACCTGCAACACAGAATTATTCGTAGAAGAAGATATATCAAAGAGTGTTCCTACTACCCAAATAGATCCTCCTACAAAGGTTCATTTACCAAGGATACACAAGAAAAAAACACTTCCAATTCTTGATTAATCATCGGAGATGATTTGGAATCAATGATTGATTAGTAAATGAATCTTTCCATTCTAATACTCTATTCGAGAGTTATTCGAATTTATCAAATATGTTTCTATCTAATGCAATGCTATTGGATCATATGACAATGGCATTATTGCGAAAAGGATGACTTTTCCCCAACGAATGAAAGATGGATTAATAGGGAAAAGATTTTTGACTCCCTAGCCAGAAGGATACGTAGCAATGGAAGATAAAGAGAGAAAAATTCCAGATTCTCGATCTACTTGGAAACATCTACCTCTCTACAATTTAAATGTTTGAGTCCCAGTTAAAAAAAAGAAAAAAAAAAAAAGAAGAGAAACAATTAAAGGTTAGAGAGAGATGCTCTCAACTCTAGTGAGAGAAAGTCCCACTTTGAGTGCCTTGACATTGTTTGATTTTCTCTTTTCTCTTGTGATTTCTTCATGTTTTTAGTTTGATTTTTATCTTCTTTGGTGAAAATCGAATTAGTGCATATTGAATCTGCTTATGGAATACTCTCTATGAGTATTGGTTTTCTTATTGCTGCCATTTTCGTCTTCTTCAAGTTAAAGTTCAAGTTCAGTTCAGTTTTTCGGCCAGGTTAGTTCCACCTGTTTTCTTTGGGTTCTTCTTCCACTGCTGGTCGGCTGGGGTTTGTTTCGGGTCCTTGGACCCCAGCTGGGTTCGTTTCAGATTGGTGCTCCTGCTGGACGGTTTGTTGGCTGCTGGAGTTCTGGATAGTTTGCTTGGTCTTTATTCTGGACAGCTTGGTTTCGGTTTTGAGGAGGCTGGATTCTTGTAACTTGGTTTCTGATCAGTACACTCCTCCATTGTTGCTGCTCTTATTTGCTTGTGTTATAGAGCTGTGTGTTCTGGAATATTTCTTACTGGGTTCCAGCCTTGCTTTCGTTCAGCTGCATTTTGAGTTTGTTTGAGTTCCTTTGCTGTCCGGTTTTGCTTCTTCACTTCCATGGTGTTCTTGGTTGGCTTGTATGTATTGTGTATGCATACATGCATGTCAAATTTGATTTGATTTTGTAATTGGGTCTGTTGTTCCTGCTATCCTCTTGCAGTGCAGCCTCTGCAGCCTGTTTTTTGCCATTTTTGTATAACATATTCAGAGAGTTGGTGAGAGACCCATTTGACAATTGACTGGGCCGGGTTTCACTTGCTCTCTGGCCGGGTTTCTGGCTGGACCTTTGAGGTTTTGGCCTATTATTTTATTGTGGTTGCTGGGTTACCTTTTGGGCCTCTCTTTGGGCTGGAGGTTGTGCTTAAGTTACTGGACTGTTTTATTGCTGGACGGATTGGGCTCCCCCCTTGTATTTCTGGACAGTTGCTGGTCCTTAATTTCTTGGGCTGAGTTCAATTCTTTATTTGGTGGGTTTTGGGCTTGCTGGATTTCTCCTTGCTGGACCACTCTTTGGGCCTGACTTTGGTTAATTGGGTTGCTTCTCTTTGGTCTTTGTTTCTAGCCCGGTAAGTGATATTTCTACCTGGGCCGTTATTTCCAATTTGGCCTGTCTTCTTGGGATTTCTTTGGGCCGTTTCTGGGCTTATTGCTGGGCCGTTTTCTGCTTGATTCTCTGGGCTTTTTTGGTCTTTCTCTAGGCTTTTAATTGGGCCTTGTTGCTGTGATTCTGGGCTTCAGTCCACCTTTCTATGCTGGGAATTCTGGCCTGTTATTGGACGTCAATTACAGGTTTCTGCTGGATTTATTTTGGCTTGCTGGTCCATTTATTTTGGCTTACTGGTCAATTCTGGTCCTTGGATTTTTTTAATTGACGTCAATTGCAATTTTGTGAGATTTCATTCTGCTGGACGGTTTTTTCCTTTGGTTGGGAGTTACTGCCGGGTTGGTTTTGTTTATTGGCCGACTGCTGATTTATGCCAAAGAAAAAATCCCGTGCTTCTTCAATTGTCGGTAATTGTGAGCTAATGAGGCCGGGTCCCGTTAAACCCCGTAAGGCTGATTTTGATAATGAATTGAACGTTGATGCTGTCTCTTCTAAGACAAATACTGCTGGAACCGAAAAGGTTAGTTTGCCATCACCGAGCATTTCTTTAACACTTGGTGAAAATGATATGGAATCTGAAAATTCAGACTTTGATTCTAATTTGGGGGACGTAAAGATCCTTAACAATGCCAACGTTGCTGGAAAAAATGTTGGGACGGAAAATAAAGCCTCATGGGTTGGCCTCTTTAAAAATAATCGAAAACTTGATGAAAACCTTAAGTTGTCGTTCTTTGAATCTCAATCGGATGAAGTTATTTTGAGTGCCATGGTGGAGGACAACATGGAGGATAAATGGGGTTTTGGGTCTTGTGGGTTATTTTGAGGGTAGGTTTCCCGGAAAAATTGCACTTCTCCAACTTTGAAAATCTTGGAAGGTTGAATACAAGTATTTTGTGCATGCAAGTGGTTGGTTGGTTTTCAAATTTGACACCGAGGTGGATAGATTGAAAGTTTTGCATGAGGGTCCGTATTTGGTATATGGAAGACCTCTAATGCTTAAAGTCATGCCTCGATATTTTGACTTTGATGATAAAGATGTGAGTATTATGCCGGCATGGATTAACTTGCCGGGTTTACCTATGGAATTTTGGAATGCTAAGGCATTGGGGATGATTGTCTCCAAAGTTGGTAAACCTATCTCCACGGATAACATAACGGCAAGTAGGGAAATGGTCTCTTATGCTAGAGCTCTTGTAGAGGTTGATGCTTCGAAGGAGCTTGTTAGGGTGGTCAATATTAGACTCCCTAATGGCGCGTTAAGGGTGTAAGAAATTCTATATGAGCATGAACCAAAATTTTGTGGTTCTTGCAAAGTTTTTGGACACACGGCTTTGTGATGCAAATTCAATACTACCGACGGTGGAAAACTTAAAGGCAAAAAAGTTGACATTGTTAAAGACTCTTCAAAGGCTAAGAATGATGGGGGGCTGAAAATTACCGAAGGAAAAAATTTGACAGTTTCAGTTGGGCAGAAAAGGCAGAATTCTGTGCAAAAATCTGGGCAGAATGGTGTCCAAAACGACCAGAATTCTGACCTAAATTCTGGGCAGATTTCGGCCCAAAATGGCCAGGAATCTGGAGAATTTATTGAAGATTCATTGACCGACCAGTTGGGGGATGAATTGGGGCAGACTGTAGCCAGTTTTCAGAAGGTCGTTAGCAAGAAAAAACGGGCAGCTGTAGGAAAAAAATCTGTCCATGTAGGGGCATCAAAGAATGGGGCAGATTCACCTTTTATTCCCCCTCCGGCAGATTCTAGCAAAGTCAATAATGAAAAGCTCAAGGGCAAGGTCGATGAGCAAAGTAAACCGGGTTTGATTGTTGCCAAGAAGAGGGGTCCCTCCCGTGATGAAGAAAGCATCTTGGAACATTAGGGGTATGAATCCACCCCTCAAACAAAATGGGATTCGGGAGTTCCTTAAGCTCCATTGTATTGATATCATGGCTATCTTGGAAACGAAGTTGGAGGAGCGAAAGTTGATGAGGATTTTGAGAAACAAGTTCATTGGCTTTTCGCATGCAAGCAACTTTACTACTCACAAAGGTGGACGTATTTTGATTTTGTGGAATCCATCCAAAGTCATTTTGGATGTGATGGAGGTTCATCCACAAATCATTCATTGTAAAGCTACTTGCAAGGTAACTTCCTTCTCCTTCCTTGTTAGTTTTGTTTATGGCTTCCACACTATGGTTTGTAGAAGGCCTCTTTGGGAAAACATCATGGACTTCAACACAAATGTTGCATTGCCTTGGATGATTTTGGGGGACTTCAACAACGTCCTTAAATTTGATGAGAAAAGTAACGGGGCGGATATCACCCCTTATGAAATCAAAGATTTTGCAAATTATTGCCTTCAAGTGGGACTAACGGATGTACGGTCTATTGGTTGCTTCCTCACATGGACCAATGGCTCGGTTTGGAGCAAAATTGATAGGGCTATGATCAATGATATTTGGGTGCAAAATGGGCCACATATCGGTGCAAATTTTCTTCCCTCCGGTTGTCTTTCCGATCATTCACCTTGTATTGTTTCCTTTGATGATTGTGTTGGTAGCGGTAAGAAGCCTTTCAAGTTTTTTAACATGTGGACTATGCATGAAGATTTTCATATTATTGTGCAATCTTCTTGGCGTGTTAATGTACGGGGGACTAAAATAATTTGTTCTTTGCAAGAAGTTGAGGAAACTTAAGGTTGCTCTCAAGGAGCTCAATTCTAAACAATGTACAAAGTTCTTTCATTCCATTGTCAAACGAAACTCTCGAAGGAATTTTATTGCTACAATTATTAAAGAGGATGGGGAGTCTTCTACTTCTCAACACCAAGTTGCTTCGGAATTTGTAAAATTCTATACTTCATTGCTTGGAACTTATTGCCCTTCTCGACCGATTCAAAGGGAGATCATCACTAATGGTCCGTTAGTCTCATTGGAACAAGGTAACTCTTTGATCCAGGAGATTACCTATGATGAAGTTAAAGAAGCACTTTTTGATATCGGAGATGATAAATCTCCCGGTCCGGATGGTTACACTTCTTGTTTTTTCAAGAATGCATGGGGGATTATTGGTGATGAGTTTGTGGATGCAATCATGGAGTTCTTCTCTTCGGGTTCTATGCTTAAACAACTCAACCATTCCGTTATTGCTTTGGTGCCTAAGTCGGATCATGCTTCTCATGTTGGGGATTTTAGACCTATTTCTTGTTGTAATGTGATCTATAAAGTGATCACCAAAATTCTTGCATCTAGATTGAGACCTATATTGGGGGATATTATTGACCAAGCACAAGCTGCCTTCATTGAAGGTAGAAGCATGACGGAAAATATTCATCTTGCTCAAGAGCTTATGAGGCAATACAATAGGAAGCGAGTCTCTCCGAGATGCCTCCTTAAAATTGATATTAGCAAAGCTTTTGACTCGGTTAGTTGGGACTTTCTCAAGAGTGCTCTTGAAGGGTTAAATTTTCCTTTGACATTTGTTCAATGGATTATGGAGTGTGTTACCACTCCGACATATTCGGTTGCTTTGAATGGAAGTATGCATGGTTTTTTCAAAGGCGGGAAAGGCCTTCGGCAAGGTGATCCACTTTCCCCTTTCTTGTTCGTGATTTGTCTTGAATATTTTTCTAGAATGATCAAGGATGCTACAAGTGATAGTGATTTTAATTATCACCTAAAATGTGGTCCCCTCGAGATAACCCACTTGGCTTTTGCGGATGACTTGATGCTTTTTGCAAGGGGTGATGCTATGTCCGTTGAAATTATAATCGACTGCCTTGACAAATTTGGTTTAGCATCGGGTCTAAAGATCAACACTATGAAATCCAGCATCTACACAGCTGGAATTTTTGGGTATGAGCTTCAAACTATCATGGAAATCTCAAATTTTTCGAAAGGATCTATGCCTTTTCGTTACTTGGGTATTCCTCTTGCATCGGAGAAGCTCAAAGTGAGTTCTTATGCACCGTTTCTTGAAAAAATAGCGGGTTATATTGGAGCTTGGAGTTGTGCATCTTTATCCTATGCCGGCAAGTTGGAACTGATTAGGGCCGTGCTTCAAGGTGTTGAATGTTTTTGGCTTTCTATCTTCCCCATTCCGGCTACAATTATTTCGAGAATTGTTAGCCTTTGTCGGAACTTCCTTTGGAGATCAAAAAAGCCATTGGTTGCATGGAAGAATCTATGCCTTCCGAAAACGGAAGGGGGGCTTGGATTGAAAGACTTGAAGACTTGGAATTTCGCGTTACTTGCTAAATCCCTTTGGAACATCCACAAGAAGAAGGACACCTTATGGATTAGATGGGTTCATCATGCTTATCTTAACGGCACTTGTATTTGGGAGGCTCGTCCTAAAAAGGATCACTCCCCACTTTTCAAGAAATTACTTGAAATCAGGGATTTTATTTCTACCAAAGAAGCTGGCCAGCACACGGTAATTTCGAGACAGCAACAGGAAACGGGGGCCCATCATTTTCAGATTGATCAGGGGGTTAACGAGGACATGTCCAGTGATGGAAGGGCATTAAATGGACGGTTTTTTGGAGCTGGGAGTGCTCTGCACGACCAGAATTTGGGCCCTTCATTCAGCAGCATTTCTGGCCGGCAGACAGCTTTCTTCGGTAGGCAGTTTTTTGAATCTTCGACTCAAAATCTAGGCTGTTCTGTGCATGATAAATTCTCAACAAAAATTGCCTATGAATACTTTAGGCATAAAGGTACTTTGAAGCCGTGGGGAGGAGAAGTTTGGAAGCCGTGCATCACTCCGAAGCATTCTTTCTTACTTTGGTTAGCAGCCCAATCAAAGCTACTAACTAAAGACAAACTACTCTTCTTGGATATTGATCGGAGGTGTGTCTTTTGTGGACTTTTTGAGGAAACTTGTGACCATCTATTCTTTAAGTGCTCCTTCACTTTCTCATTATGGGGAAGCATTAGGAGATGGCTTGGCATCACAAGATCTATGTCTACACTTGCCATTGCGCTTAAGTGGATGAAAAAGGAGAATCGTGGAACTTCGTGGCTGACCAAGACGAAGAGAGTTGCTCTTGCTAGCACAGTTTACTACATATGGCTTACGAGGAATAGGAAGATTTTTGAAGACCTCCCGGTCGACTTGGATTCTATTGCTAGAAGGATCAAGACTCACGTATACAAAATCATGTTTACTTTGTATCCGGATGTCTTGATTCTTTATGAATCCTTGGCCATGGAGCTTTGATTTCTTTGTATTAGCTTTCTACTGTCTTTGCCCGGGTATGCCTGGAGTACTTGTTTTGGTTTTTGGACATTGATTTGCCCGGGTATGTCCGGTGTACTAGTATTTGATTATGGACATTGTCTCGCCCGGGTATGCCCGGTGTATTTGTACATGGTACATTTTTGATCTATATATTTACATTTACCGATCAAAAAAAAAAAATGTTTGAGTCCCAGTTTCAAAAAGAAGGGAGATTCATTTAAATCAATCAATAGATAGGACGTCTATCTACAAATGAGCGACTTTCTTCCTTGAAATCGATTTGTATTGTGTGAAATGTGGCTTAGGAAACACAGAATGAAAACTGATTACTTGAACATTTGGAGTGTGAGGGTCACACTTGAGGCTAGACGAGAGACACATTCAGGAGGACAAGGGACGGAGAAGAGAGAAAATGGACATGCCCGAGCTGGGAAAGCAACATTTACGAGTATTATCCGTAACCCACATCCTTAGTTTGGAGGGACTAGAAGTCTTCCTGCTTGAAATCTCACCGTTCAGGATTGCCTCAGCTGACTCTGTTCCTAATTTTTCGCTAACACACTACTTCAGTCTGCAAACATCATGCTTGCCTATTCGAGCTCATGGCTCGATCCATCCTTGAAACTAAAGGCCACAAGCCCAGACCATCTAAAAGTAAGACACGTTACACTACGGATTACATATCAAATTGCGGACTGAGATAACTTTCTACTCACAGCCATCATTACAGCACCGAGCTAGCATTATATGATTAATCATAGCAAAAGTTCAGAAGTATGGAACTATCCCAGTAAAATTTGATCAGTTGAAAATCAAGAGTTATATCAATTGATAGAAAAGTTAGTGTGGCAGGAAATGGCAAAACCGAAACAGGGGCAATTTCACCACCCCTTAAACTAGAACAAAGTCTCTTCCAAGAGGACTAACAGCAAATCTCCAAGATTCAGGACACAAATGATCAGCTTACCGCATTGCTGGGGGTGGAACTTGCGGTCTCACGGGTGTCTTTGAAGGGCTTACCCTACAGTATTATCAAACCTGTTAAGGTAAATGAAAAGCTATTGACTTGAAAAAGATCTTGCAGCAGCCAATAACTTGTACCTGATATGTTGGGATCCTAAAATTTCGCCACAACAATCAAGAGCGAGTATTGCACTCTCAGCCTGTGAAAAAGTAATATTTTCTTAAAATGTATTTCAAATTGGATGCGTGTAAATTAAGCATTATAACTAAATCCACTTTTAACAGGCTTATCCTTTTCTTTTGATGCATATGCTGATTTACATATAATAACGAAAGAAATCTAATAAATTTCAAACTTCTCCTGATCTAATCAAGTGATAAGATGAAATCTATCCCAGCATAGCATTTTCCCAGAGAAGTTGACTGATTTGGCATTTCCAGCATATTTTATTTATTTAGCAGGTAGCTCCTGGTATGAGATTGTGTAAGCTGCACTTGAGGAATCAAGCAAGTATTATCTATAACGCATCCATCTTAACAACTAAACTTTATGTAAAATTCATCAAGTCGGTTATTTGTTCCAATAAATGCCGACAAAAAGGAAAAAAGCATTTTTCAAAATCTCTTTTCTCGAGTCTATGTTAAATCAGTAAAAGAATTCATAATTAGTTGATGATCCCTCTCCTCATGTCATGAGGTCTCTTTTAATTATTTGGTTGGAGTGCAACCTAAAAGAAATCTTATTGCCAGCAACCTCTCGGCTCTGAAAAAGGAGGTTACTAACAAGGTACGAAAATGGAAAATAACAGTCCCGTAATATCTGTGAATGAGGTGAACAATGACAAGTACTATTCCTCAATGAATCTTTACATTTTGGTCAACACAACCATTAGAAATCTATCAGCTTACATAGAATCTCATACCCATGTCAATAAGCCGTATTGGCATGCAACAGGGAAACTCAGGGAGGTTAAGCCCCATTTCACTCCATATGAGCCTAGACTTTAACCCATGTTTCTCCATGGTAGTGTTTGTTCCAAGCTCAAGAAAAACACCAAATTCATGGGATTTTGTAGTTTCCAGCCACAGGATGACGAGGTATAGAGAGCTGCCCCCCCCCCCCCCACCCCCC